AATGATCATGTAACAACTCAGCTCTTTTGCATTCATAGATTAGTGTCAAGTCACATATGGATCTATTTTAATTTGTTAAACCTATCTTTATCCACTTTCAAATTTGCACAGTATGAAGGATGGTTAATATTCTGGTTGTATGAGCTCTAGCATTTTGGTAACTTTGGAAAATAATTAGATAAGGTTTGCATTTTTTTTTTGTTTGACTGTCTTCTGATGGACGTCCTCCTCACTGGACACTGGTGCATATTCATCTGAACTAGAAAACCCAGGTGTGGCGTTGCCGCGCCATCTTGAGCCAGCCATGGTGATTCCGTGTGGGATTCATGATGTTTAGAAATTGATTTGTTCGTTGCCTGATTACTTCAATCAATTGAAAATAATTAGAGTCACGTTTTGTATCAACAAATAGAAGGGTAGGCCAGGTGCAAGCGGTAGAGTCTTACCGCCTGTGACCGGAAGGTCCCGGGTTCGAGTCGCGGTCTCCTCGCATTGCACAAGCGAGGATAAGGCTTGCCACTGACACCCTTCCCCAGACCCTGCACAGAGCGGGAGCTCTCTGCACTGTACGCTCTTTTTTTTATCAACAAATACAATTATAAAATGACATGAAAAGCAGCTTTATAATAACAATAGCGTAAATATGTTGGGTCATTTATTATTCTAAAAGATATATGCGTTTAATTGACATTGCAAAGTTTTTCAGCTTCGTAGCATACATTAAGCTCTGACATTTGTAAATGAAAAAAGAGGAAGAAATAAATGTAATTGTCTTCCAGTGACCTTTAACTCAAACTGAGCAAAAAAATGCCGTATCAAAAAATTCGACCATGGGAGGAGACTCTCCTACATCCATAATTAATCTACTTCCTTCAGGCTGTTCTTGTCCACAGTGCTCCAAAAAAGTGCTCAAGGGAGAAGCCTAACAGAGATGATGGAAGGTATATATGAGAAATCCATCACTTGCACTGGAAGCCGATCTTTAGTTATTTAGTATAGGATACGACAGGTTATCTAGAAATGAAGATGTATTTTATAAATGAAGGCACAACAACATACCAATCCATGTAAGCAGTAAAGCGATAAGGTTCGTTCCACAAAAGTAATATGCATACTCCATTTGATTTGTAAAAGGAGGCTTCGGTAGATTCATCACAGAGCATCTACCTCAACTGTTGCGTGGACATAACATGGCATGTTCCTTCATCTTGTATTTTTACTATTTTGGAGAAGAACTGATATATAGGAACATTCTCAGGTCTACAGGGTTGCTCAATGAAACATTGTAACTTTGGTTCAGATTCGAAATGAAACAAGGAAGTTTATTCGCGGTAATTCAATCTTGCTTTGTTAATTTATTAATCTTATTTCCACTTTGTATAAGTGTATTTTAGGGAGCACAGAGAATTAAGTAACATATTAACATCAATACAGGTTAATGTTAATGACAATACATTAAAGCTGTTAATTTGGTGCATGCTTGTTAAGAAACTAAAAAAAATCTGTAGTGGTAGTGTAGGATTTAATCAGAATCTAAGATTTAGATTGATTTGTCTAAACCAATATTACAACAACAAACGCAGAGATATATTAGATTGCAAAGAAGTCTCAATTCATAATTCTCTATCTAGGAAGATGGAACACAATTTTAAATCTTCTGTTTAGATTTTTTGCTAATTTAATTTGAACGCAGATTTTGCAGCTGGTATCAATGGAAGCAGCTTCTAAAATTCTCAACCAAATCAAGGATGTAAAGAAGATTGGTGAATATAAACCACACTTACCTTAAGGTTTGTAGACATGATTGGTGTTGGCTCCATGTGGACGACTACCGCGCCAGCCGACTAACAAGCTGAGGAGATGAGAGGCAGCACATGGATACCACCCCCACATCATCTATCTGTCACAGCTGACAGGCAAAGAAGATCTGAGTACTATGCAGTAGAAAATGGAGCTCACGGAGAGAGTTGAAGCGTCGGAACAATTCCCTTTTTTTTGGAGATGGAAACTCTAATTAGAATTTTTGTTAGCTAGCAATGGAAGAACATATGTGCTACATTTAATTAGCAATGGATGAACATATGTGCTGCATTTAAATAAAAATAGTGAGCAGTGGAACCGTGAGGTAATAGATGATGCTATCTTCTGAGAAAAGAACAAGCCATAATTCTCCATTTGCTTCTGTGTTCTTTTAGTTCGAACTGAGTTGGTCACAAAAAAGCAGAAATGTGTTAGTTTAAGTTTGACTCTGAAGGCAGTGACTAAATGCAATGCTTATAGCAAAACAGTTCTGCAAAAAGATTTAAGTCTTTGAACAGATTTTGTACTTGCAATCTTGAAAGTTTGAGAAGATGTACCTAATATGAAATCTGAATATTGTTGAATGAAAACATCTTTGCAAATGAATATCCATAGTCGTTGATCCTTGTACCAATGTTTTCAAGGCGGTAAGGCGAGGCGTGGCGAGTGACTACCGCCTTACGCTTAGGCGAGTAAGGCGTAAGGCGAGGCGACGCCTTACCAACTAAAGGAAATTTTAAAACAGCAGCTCAGAGTAGTATATAGATTTTTTTGAGCAAACTCAGAGCAGTATATAGATGATAAAGAAAAAAGGAAAGGAAAAAAAGAAAAAGAAAGGAGGAGTAAGAAGCCCAGCCCACGTGCACCAAGCAGCCCATGTGGCCCTCACCCTAGTAGCCCTAGCGTGTCTTCATCTCTCTCGGTCTCTCCTGCACTGCGCCGCCGCCGCAGCTTCCGCCTCCGCCCATCTCTCTGTCTCTTCCCTCCCGTTCCCTCCGCCTCCGCCCCTCTCTCTCTCTCTCTCTCTCTCTCTCTCTCTCTCTCTCTCTCTCTCTCTCTCTCGATAGTGGAAGAGGAACAGAGGAGGCGGGGAAACAGCAGCCTGTCGCGCGGATGGGGAAGAGGGTAGGGGGAGGCGGAGCGGCTCGTGTCCTGCTCGATGGAGGACCAGAGGAGACGGCGGGGAAACAGCAGCCCGCCGGCGGCTGCTCCTCGCTCGGATGGGGAAGAGCGGAGGGGGAGGAGCCTATTCTTGAGGCGGAGGCTCGCCGGCAGCAGCTTCTCCCGGCGGCGCGGGCGAACGCGTTCACGCGGGCGAGCAGGTAGGTCCGTCTTCCCCGCGAGCGCTCCTCTCTCTGCTCTCTGATTTCTCCCGCGCTCCTCTCTCCACGCGCGCCTAATCTCTGCGCGCGGGACTGCTCTTTTCCCCCATCCTTTCTCCCGCGCTCCCGCGTTTTCCCGCCGCGAGCATCCCGTATGGCGCCCGCCTTGCTCGATCTGGGAAGAATCGGACGCCAAAGCGACGTTTTCCGGACGCCACAGGCCTAAGGCGGACGCCATACGAATTTGAGGCGAGTCGTCTGCCAAATCGTCTGGCCTGGAGCGCCTTGGCGATTAGGCGACGCCAAAGCGACGCCTTAAAAACATTGCCTTGTACTAATAGAAATTGGCTTTACAGACTAACAGATTGAACTTAGGAATAATGGGATTCATCTATTTATGGGCGTGTTTGGGACTGCTCCGCTCCACGTTTTTCAAAAACGCTCACGTTTTTTAGTCAAGCGGCCTTGTACTAATAGAAATTGGCTTTACAGACTAACAGATTGAACTTAGGAATAATGGGATTCATCTATTTATATCATGATGATATGCCCATCAAACACATGACATACAAACTCAAGCTTTCCTGGAGTACGAGAGGGCAAAGACCAAATTGGAACCGCTTGATATTATGATTACCTCACCTGCAGACTAGCTCGATTAACGCCAACCACATCTTCATCACAGCCGCAGTACAAGCACGGAGATTTGCTATCTTCTATTCTTATCCAAGATGTAAGGGCATATTGAGCATGTATGGAGGCAGAGTCCATGGAGATGGGGTGCACCAAGCTCGCGCCGACGGAGTCGCGTGCACTCGGGGGGCCGGGGCTGGCCGCGCATGCCGGTAGCCGACGGCGCCTCGCCCTGCCATGGCCGGTGGCCAGGGCCACCGCGCCGCCACGCTAGGGGGCAGCTTCGCCCCGCCAAGGCCGGGGGCCAGTGCTACTTCGCCCCACTGCGCCCCGCCATGGCTGCCTCGTCGCCATACCAGGCCCTCTGCGCCGCCGCCGTAGAGAAAGAGGGAGGAGGTTTCGCGATCGAGGTCAGCACATGAATCGAACGGCTGAGAAATTCCTGCGACAAAAGAAACGTGGCTTGATGAGGTACTGGAAACGTGGCTGTTTGTGCTGCTTGAAACGTGGCCTAATAGGGTGCAAGATAGCATGGTACAGGTTTTGGCCTGTTCGCTTGCTCGTATACGATCGTGGATTATAAGGTGGAACGGTATTTTTCTCTCACACCAAACCAGCCAGCAGTAAATAATCCACGATCGTTTACGACGAAATGAACAGGTTGTAGATTGGTCATACACTGGTCTCCTTTTGCTGTCAATCGATGAATCTCCTCGTTGATTATTATTTACCAGAATTAATTATACATATCTCAGTTTGACCATCAAAAGATGAATATCCTCACTGATTCTTATATCACCAAAATTACATATGTCTCAGTTATAGCAGAGCCAGAGATGTATGTTCTTACCGGTCCTATTTTTTTTCATGTTTGTTCGAATTGCATGAGAGCTCAAAATTAGTTTCTCTAAAGATAGCTGCACAAGATATTATTATATTGTTCAGACTTGTAACCATTGAATGGTGCCTTCAATTTTATATACATAATAAAGTACACAAAAATAGAATATTTCAAAGTTGAATTCGGTTATAAGATCACTGGCAAATGATTTTTATTATATTGTTCGCCTGCATTCCAATTTTGTAAGAGATCGAGAAACGGTTAAGCAACAATCAACAGGTTATTAAAGCGACAATCAGCAAGTAAATAACCATTGAGTCATGACATGTTTTGAAAGTTGGCAGTTGGGCAGTTACCGGACATGGCAGGCCAGAGCCTACACATCAATAGCCAACAAAAATGGCCTAGTAACAGTACTTGGTGGAGTAGTCCTTTGGAGCAATCATCAGACCACAGCCCTTCCGAGCACCCCTATACCGAGTCTCTACAATGTCAATAAACTCATGCTTGTCCTTCAAGGCCCAATTGATCTTATTGTTGTTTCCTGTCCCAAGATCAATCATGATGCGCTTGCTTCGGAAGAAGAACATCACTGTCGATTAATCATACAATTCATACAAGGTGTTAAAGTTAGGAACCTCAGTTATATCAACGAGGTAGATAATGGCAAAGTTCTTTACGGTCTCAGCAACTGAGGCCAGCACTTCATCCATCTAAGCACAAATAAGATAAAAGAGTCAGAATAACACGGTACAATGAGTCAGAATACTGCCCCAAAGCACGAGACAAGGTCAAACCAAAACATAAAATAAAACACATCAATTACAAAACCTTATTGCTATGTACTTCACCATAATTTTGTCCAGAAAAAACTTTGTAATCACTCCAAATATGTGGAAGATAAAATATCAAATCAAGTGTGAGATAACATTGCCTATTCTCTAAAAAAGGAAACATCCCAAACTTCCCAATTCTATATTCTAATCCAATTCAAACTGGCCAGTGACCACATACCCTAGGATGAACAACTCAAGGTGTGGTTGGATTGTAAACACGAAAGCACTAGCAATAGTGTTCTTGTATTTGAATCAGCTATAGTTAGAAGTAGTGCACCCCCAAGATCCCAGAACATCATCTACTTGTCAACACTATGCCAGAACACCAATAGCTGGTCAAACTTTACAACTCTGAATAAGCAAAATCACTGCAATTTACACTTTTAATTAGCACCAGTAAGCAGCTTAGATGAACAATATATTAAACCTCCCTGTCTGCATAGTCACCAACTCACAATACCTCTACAAATTATACATTTAAAATTTTCAAGCAATTTGTCAATTAAGGACTTAAAATTTAAACTTAAAATTTAAAGGTGAAGTGGAATATAACTTTTTATCTAAACACCAATAATGCAGAATGCATGATTTATTCATAGTAAAAAAATCTTGTAGAGATAAACTAAATCTTTCCCATTCTATTCCCACATAGGACTAACAAACTATCCTCTAAAAAAAGATAGCTGAAGATGACAACAATTTAAATTTCAACAATACAAACATTTTTTTATAAGCTAAAGTAGTACTGCTTTCCTGGGATCCCCAATCCTCCCAATATGAATCACAACATAAATGAACCCAACCGAGCTTGATTTATACCGACAAATGTTCGTGTTTAATTTACTGGAGCTAAATTAGCAAAGTCAATACACTTCACCTTCCTGCTTGACTCGGTTCTCCTAAACCCCGTCCTGCCATACATATGGCCATCACTTCCACAATAGACCCTAAACCCCAATTTCACGAAGTCCTCACCGGGACGATCAACCCCCAAGCCCATGACTGCGTCCCAAATAACAGCACAAGAGACATCCACAGACATGAATAACAACTAAATGCAAGCAAATTTCACCAATCAGGCCTCACTAGTAGAAAGCTAAGCTTAAGCGGTCGAGGAGCTAGTTACCTGCATGCATGTCTCGTCCCAGTCAATACACTTCATGGGAGAGAGAGATCGGTTCCTTGGAATATGAAAGCTGGCGAAGATATTGAATGAGTTCTATCGTTCTGGAGTCGGACTCATGCTGGGCCTGGTTCCTTTTAATTTTCTGCCCAATACAAACACTGGGCTGGGCTCTCTCCATCACTCTATGGCTTGGCCCATGAAGTGTGCTCTCAATGCACAAGGTGTGAGGGGTAACCAACGTGGGATGAAAGTAGAGCATATATATGTTGCTGTGGTTTGTTTGTGTGTGGTACTGTATGCACACTCTAAAGAGACTTACACAATTTCATCCCCTAGGGGCACATCCAGCCGGCCACTCCTTTGAAGAGCATGGCGTCGCCATTTCCGATTCCGCCGGGTAGTCTTGTGATCAAAGTAGAAGATGAAAGGGAGAGTAATGTACCCGGGCATATCACCACCGACCAAGAGCTGAGGGACATGTTCACCAAGGACGTCCAGCGCCGGCTCGAGCTCATCAGGAGGAGGAGGAGCCTGCAACCCTCTGGCAGTGCTCAGTTGCAGCCTCCCCCAGCCCCACCGGTGAGGCACAATCCTTCACTTGCTTTCTCCTTTTCATTTATGTTGAACTGTTGAAGGATGTGAGTTTGAATATTGAAGTGTTTTTTTTAATATTGAAGTGTTTTTTTTTTGAAAAATGTAGTTCAGATTTCAGCGTTTTTTTTTTCTCGAACACGCAGGAGAGCTGCATATCATTATATTAAGAAGAATAAAGGAATGGGTTTAGAAACCCCATACAGCCACACACCCTTTTACATCTAATATTGTACCTCTCTCTCAAATTCAAACTTGACCCAAGACCACTAGAGAGGAACTCACACATTGGCTCGCTCTAGAGCAAGGAGTTTTGTTTTATGTTTGTGCTTATGTATTTGGTTTGTGCATGTCTAATCATAGCAGTAATTTCAGCTAGAGAAAAAGTGTCGAGTAGCATTTTTAAGTTATGATTGCTAAGCAGAGAAAACGAAAATACTGGTTCTAGGACTGCATGTATTTCTTTCTAATCTTCAACTTCAAATTTTTGTTTTGATATAATCTCTCGGTGACATAAGGACCCAATCGATTGACACTTGCAACAAAAACATACTACAAGGCTTGTCGGTTCTCGCCTTGTTCGCTTCGCTGAAAAACCAGGTTGAAAAGTACTGTTCGCTGATTTGTTTTGATATAATCCAATGGATTGTTCACTTGAACTTATCAGCCTGGCTTATCAGTCAATGGTATAGTGTTTTTCTCTCATAACAAATCAGCGAACAGTACTTTTCAGTCTGGCTAATATATTTTTTGATGGTAGTGATAGCCTTGAAAGCCTACCATTCAAGATACAGTACATGTACTCTTCAGTTGCCTTGTGATGGTGTCTTTCCTCAAATGGTAGTTCATAATGAAGTGCTAGAATTGTGACCTGTAGCTGCATTTTTGAGTTAAACAAACATGGTGTAGAAAGATGATACTGCAATTAATTTAAAGAATAGTTTATTGGTGGATAACACAAAGTTTGTCTTAGAATCAAACATTAAGGCTCCTTTGTTTTTTTCTTTAACTGACACACTTACTCCTTCTGACATTCTTTCTTCATTTGAAGAGGAAAGGACCTCTAACTGTAGGATTGTAATGTGGAAGGTTCTGTACATGGATTTTAAAAAGTATGTCAGTACATTGTCAAATTTTACACTTCTGAAAAACTAATAGGACTATACATGATGTTCAGCAACCGCATAGTTAGATCCATCCATTCCAAGTTTGATGCCTGCATTCACTTCATCTTTGTTACAAATTGGAGATTGCATTGTCGCGTACGGTAGATTCTGTCTATGACCTGTTGTGTGACTTGTATTTCCTCACTTCTTCTCAGGCGCAGCAAGCACCCCTGCCTCTCCCCCCACCGCCACCGCCACCGCCACCGCCTCCGCCTCCACCAGCGCAGCACCACCCATGCACAAAGAGGCTGGCAATCGGACCGCCTCCGGGGTTCGCGGGTGTTCACACGCCGCCGCTGAAGCAGTACCAACGCCGGCCACGAGGGCCGAAGGCGCCGGCGCAGCCACAACAACCAGCGCCGCTGAACGCCCACCCCGCCCCGGCCCCATCCCCACCCATGCTGAACGCACAAAGGGTGGGGCAGGCTCCGCAGCCAGCGGCGCCAGGCGCACATGGCGCCGCCGCCACGGCCGTGCCGCCAGTGCACGCCACCAGCCCCAGCGCCGTGCCCGGGCTCCAGCTCCAGCAAAGGACGACGCCCAAGCCACGTCACCCAGCGGCGAAGAAGAAGCCCACCGTGCCGTGCACCTTCTGCGGCGTGCTTTGCATGACGGCGTGGAACCTGAAGCAGCACGAGCAGGGGCGGAAGCACCGGAACCGGGTGGCTTACCTCGCCGGGGAGATGAACGTGCGGTGCAAGGTGTGCGACGTGCACCTCTCCAGCGGGCTCAACGTCGAGCAGCACAACGCCGGGAAGCAGCACCGCCTGCGACTCAAACTCAACAGAGGAGCCTGAAACGCACGGTTGCCCCTTTTACTTTAGTGGCGGCACATGCTTATGACTTGCACTATCTGCTGGAACTACATATGTGACTTAAAACAATATCTGTGATGATAGTGATACTCAAACTTTGGACATTGTTTATCTTCGTTAGCATCTGCTACTAGAACTATCATTTGGATTATTGTGTACTCTGTAATGGATTCTCAGATTTGTTGATGTGTTTGACTCTGTTATATCCGGCTCCTTATTTATGCGTGCAGTGTCTTCGATGCAGTGGTTATTAGGATTGTTTTATGTGTTCTATTCCATTATCTGTCCTTTGAAATCCTGTATCGTGAAACATATTTTGTGTTCTGAGGTCTCTGAAAGTCTTGGTTGATGGGTACGCGTATCCATCTTTTCATTGCATTGCTTGCTCCAACGACAGTACGTAACGTGTGGTTGGCAAAGTAAGCATAACACGTAGCAGTGAAAGATGACATCTAGTTGTAGAGCTCAGTTGATTGCATCGCCCTCTCCCAAGTGTACGGTGCACCTCGCACCGGCAACCCAGGTGTGCCCGGGCCATGCCTCTAGTCAATTGTCGTTGTTACTCGTTAGACAACCAATCGTAGCTACCTCTGAACGCGTCGAGCAAACTATGGGTGCGGTGGGTGCATTGCAGGTAGAACATAACACCGGTGATGCATACAGTTCCTCTTTTTTTTTCAGTTCAGCAAACACATGGATTCTTCTGGCTTACGGCAGGGCAGCTGGGGTTTTGGCATTGGGAACGTTGGACACACGTACGGTTGATTAGTTACTTTTCAGTTTCACTCGTGGTTTGTATTTGTATACATGATGGTGATCACGTCAGGGTCAAAGGTGCCTCAGCGCACCTACTAGAACAAACACAGCAGCGAATGGGCCTATTCGTTTGAGAAATTTGGATGGTTTGAAGGAATGCTGGAGGAATTTATGAGAAAAAAACACGGTTTCGGATAAAAAAAAAAAAGTGGATCAAGTCAGGTTTAAGGCAAGCGAACGGGGCCGATTAAACGACGAAGAAATCCGGATAAAATCGTGACTATTAAGGGCAAGCGAGGCTGCTCATGCCGGAAAGCAACCACGATTCCACTGTCCAATCAAAGCGAACAGGCTGAAAGCAGCTCCACACGCCATCATATTTGTGGGATGCCGACTGCTGCATAACTACTAGTATAACCTACGTAACGGAGAGCGTCTTCTTGAGGACCCTTTCCGACGACGGGGAAAGGGTTTTGGACGACCGGTGGATGACGTGATCCGGCCTTGAGACGGCAGTAGTACTTCAGTTTCCACGATTTAGCTCAGCGACCCCCGCGACCCGTGCGTCACCTGCAGCTGCATGCGGGCTGCGGAACGAAAACCAGAGAGCCTTTCGCCGTGACGCGTGGTGAAAAAACAGTAAAACGAGCGGAAAACCACGGGCGGTTCGGCGCGGCCTCCTCGTGCGTGGTCAGACGCGAACTGTTCGTTACGGCGACACGACGCGAGATGGTGGCGCGGAGCCGGAGGCGCCATGCAGTGGATGGGCAAGGGGGGTGGGGGGGGCAGTGGTTGCGTTTGGTCACCACTCGGCACTTGCCATTGCCAGTCGCCACCACCGGCCGGCATGGCAACGAAAGAGGCGGGCGGGCGAGACGGGGCCACCAACCAGCCATATCCTCCCCCGTCCGGCCGTCAGGCGCGCGATTTTTCTAACAACTGCCGCGAGTCCGATCGAGTTGGCTACTTGGCTGTGCGCCTGTGCACGGTACGCCCCCACCACCGGTTCCGGTTGGATGGCGTGTCCGATCCGTCGCGGGCGACAGCGGCAGTCCGGGTCCTCTGCATTAACGGCGATCGATCAATGTAGTCGAGCAATATTTGATCATCAGTGATGGAATAAAGCCTGCTCTACAGTTTTCGCCCGCAGCGATAAATCGTCGGCCACCGTAGCGAACAGGAAATAAGAACGACGTGTCACAAGACACAGTAGCATGCAGATTAAAGAAAACCATGTCTTGGACGAATCGACAGGCAAGAGCACTGCCACGTCATTAAGAGGATGGGTGTCGAGCGCCGGATTATTTATTTTAAAAAGCTATCCGTGGATGTAACACATTTGACCTTAATATGCTGCTTGAAAAGCGACGAAATACAGTTGAAGTATTTGAGTTTTTCAGTCAGTCAGGGGTGTGTGTGCTGGCGATTTTCAGCAACAGTGTTACCTCTGATTAGTATCGCTTATTAAGACCAAATTAAAGAGAGGACGACCGAACTTTAGGAAAAGCGGGTTGGTTTGATAACCATATAAAAAATGAGCATGCCATAGACATGCAATTAGCATGCACAAATGCTCGCTTTTCCGCTTGGCCAAATGGGTGAACTTTAGTGCTATATACACTGCACGCTCAAATGTACTACCGGCGTACCAGTTGCTTTTATCTCGTACAGTACTTGTCTGCTCGGCCAACATATATCCTTTTTTGGACAGTGCGGTCCCACTTCAACGCCTCCATTTCAGCTATTTTGGGCAAGAGTTTCGCTGGATGGATGTCCAGAGGCATTACTCCCCACATCTGTGCAGCCGCCCTGAGGAGAGCTCAAGACCGCAGGCACTTGCATGTCATGCATGCAGTGCCTGATCGTCCATGGATCACAGAAATCAAGGGTTCGGAGGCTCATGGTGCCTGAGCGTCCGGCATGCATGGGTACCTACAAGCTCATGTTCTTCCTCTGGCTCGGCGTTTCAAGCATAGGGATTAGACGGCAGATCAACGGTAGCGTCATGGGGTCGCAAGCGATCGCCTTGTGCAGTTGTGCCCTTGCGATCGATCAAGAAGACCAGAACCCCAAACAAGTGATCGCACACATGGAAGCTTTGGTGGCCAGTATGTTCAGTCCTCGACGTCAATTGCCAGCAAACCACCAGCCGGCGCTTCTCTGCAAGATTGCTAGTTCCTCTTCCTCTTAAGGTCACGCTGGAACGGCGACAGGCACAAGGATCGGATACATTGTTTGCTCCGACTCTGGAAGGAAAGAAACAAGAGAATTATTTTGCCCCTGGCCTAACACTGTTAAGTCCTAAAATTAACCGAACGGCCATATAAGAAACTGAAGATAGCTATTGAGCCAACTTCATCAAAAATAAAAAGGGCCAAGAAAGGAAGCAGAATTTTTTTAGGGCCAAGAAAATAAGGGGAGCAGATTGCTCCGCTCTAGTTTTTCAGCCCTGCTCCACCAACTCCACTCTGGAGTCACTCGCAGATCGACACGTTTGGCATGTAGCCTGACTCCAGCTCCAAAAATAGAAGGTTTTACTAGAAAAGGTCTAATATGCCCCTAAATGTTGTTTGGAGTATGTTTTGATGTTTGTAAGCATATGAGTGTTTGTTTGCTTTTATTAATTGAAATATGATATAAGAATACTATAAATACAAAATACAAACAATTTAATTAATTAAAAACACATATTGTGGTAGAAAAACTAATTACGAAAACACATACTTGACCAATAAATTAACACTTCCTCCATGTGCTTGTACAAAAAAAAAGGATAAAACCCTCTGATAACAAATACGTATACAAAGTGTGACTCTGTTTTTTCTTGAAAAAGAGAGAAGAGTTGTTTTTTCTTGAAAAAGAGAGAAGAGCAGAACATAAAGGAAGTTGGAAGATGCAATTTATTTTAGAGAAAAAAATCAACACAACGATTCGTCTTCCAACCCTTGCTTCTCATTTGTGTAAACATATATGCGCCGATCCCATGCCAAACCAGGAATTCCATCACATTTGTTCAAACTTCAAGCATGCTCCCATCCCATGCCAAACCAGCCATATGAATCATGCAGCCAAGATATATTTATTAATTTACCTATCATCGACCGCTGGCCAACCGCGAGCAGACACTGGATACCTACATCCTGGCAGGAAAAAAATTTATCGGCCGAGAAAATTGAAATTTCTGATATCTCGTGTTTATCGTTCGGGCCCGCTATTTTGCTCCTATCGCCTAAATTTTTTGGCATTTTGAAATGTGCCTGCCAAAAATAGGGCCCAGATGTTGTGGAAGCCCGCCAGATCGGTTCCCACCCACTAAAACCCCCCTCCGAACCCTAAAGAGCATGTTCGCTGGTGCTGGTTTGTTGTGAGAGAGAAAACAGTGTTGGCTGGCTGATAAGCCCTGGCTGAAACCAACAAGCAAACATGCTGAAAATCCCAATTCATTCACTCTTCTCTCTCCCTAGGATCCAACGCCTCTCGTGTTACCACACAGGCACGCAATAGCCAACCCCGCTCGACACACTGGAGCCACGCGTGCCGAGGCGATGCCTGCCTGCGTGTGCCAGCAGCCAGCCGCGGGGGCGGAGGCCAAGCCGCGGGCGCGAAGACGGCATCTACCCGGTGCGCGCCAGCAGCCAGTACCCTCCCCTCTTCGTCCAAGATCGAAAAGGGTAAACATAGCCTCTGTTAAGCACTTCTACTAGTGAAAAGGTTAGGTGCATTTCTTCCCATTTATCATGAAATTGACTGACAATGCTAGCTGATGTATATCTGCCTAACTTGGCCCTTTTTGGTGTGTGAATTCTAACATCTTGTTTGCTACAAATTGCTGTGATTTGAGCATGAAAGTACTATGTGATATGGACAGATTTGTAACCGGATTTTGCCATTTTGGTGTTGCTTGTCATATTTTGGATTGTGCACCGATTCTATGTAATATTTGGCACTATGGTGGACTTCATAATATTTAGGACGGGACTATTATATTTCTATGTAATGTATGGAATATGGAGCCATGGATGGACTCTATGTAATGTTTGAAAATGTGTGGACTGATTCTATCTATCTAATGGATCTTTATGTAATATTTGGAACAGTGTAATATTTGGGACTTTCATTATATTTGGGTAGTATTTTAGACTATCTTTATGTAATATTTATTTATTTGGGATTGCATATTTATGTAACATTTGAAACTGCGTGTGGTGGTAATTCCTCTCCAACTC